ATTTCGAATATTTTTTTACTTCAGGTTCGATACATTCGAAGATTTCGAAATTCTTTGTAAAAAAAATTCAAAAACTTCGAACGCTTCGAATTTTTATAGACATGAATTTCGAACAATTCGAAGATTTCGAATTTCTTTTTGTATGAAGTTCGAAAAGTTCGAAGGTTTCGATTCTCTTTTAACGTTAAAAAAAAACAAAAAACTTCGAAGATTTTGAATTTTTTTTTTAATCCAAGTTTTTCCACAGTTTCAGTTACAAATAACGTTTTCACGACTCACTGGTTTTCACAAAATCAAGTTTAGAAAAGTTAGGGTGTGATATCTAGATTCTGCGAAGTTGGTCAGGCAATTAAATGAGGCGACGAGTGTCCCGGACGTGCTAGAATATTTGCCAGTGCAGAATTGTGACCGCCAGCCCTGGGGGGGGGGGGGGTCGGGGGGTCTTCAACCTGCATCACGCAGTAGTGACAGTAGTGATTGCACGAACACACTGCTTTTGTGAGACTCATCCAGTTCGAAACGGCCAGGGGCAAGCAGGAGGTTGAGTCTCAGAAAAACTTTGATGCGACCTGGCAAACTAGCTCGCCACCCCTTGCACGCTGGTAGTAATCCGATCCGGTGAAGTTTATAATTGTCCTGGAGGTTTATTTTCTGGGACGGAGGAATCGCCTTGCAAAAAGCACAAAAGCCGACACAACTCGAAGTCGAGGAGCGTTCTACCATACAAGTGGCGTCGGAAGAGGAAAAACGGGGGGAAAGAGGGTAGCGAAGGGGGGGGGGGGGGGGGGCTTCAGCATCCTTCTCCCCCTTGCAGGTATTTCGGACTGTTAAAGAAAACAATACGGGGAAAGAGGGCGTGGTCGAGCTTATTTTAATCTGAAATTATTTATGCATATGTATAGCTACTGTCGCTCTTCACTGCATAAAAGGTTCCGTAGATGGTCATTGTTAGAAACTCGTTGTCAGAAGGCACTGCTCGTCACATGCTTAGTGGTTCGGAAGTTCAAAGCTGTCTTTTCGACCTAAACACCTGTGCCGATAGTTACAAAAAAAAAAAATAAATAAATAAATAAAAATAAATGCGGAAATAAAAAGCGGAAAAAAAAAAAGAAACTATCAAGAATTCGTCGGAAGTGTTCTATTCTTGCATATTCAGAGGTTCAGAACTTCGAAACAAGTTTCTTTTACCAAAATGTGTACAGGCTAAAAGAAACACGACCCAGGAACGTGAAGCGAAAAAAAAAATGTTTTCTTTTAATGACGTGCTGAACTTGAACACTATTAGAAATCTTCTCCCATGAGTTAATTTATTCCTTAACGTGAAAAAAACAATGAATATATTATTTTGTATTCTGCAGATGGCAATGATATGTACTGTCTGTGGTGTTAATTTAAATGCGGTACCTCAAACAACTTAGACGAAAATAAATCTCAAGTTTAGGTCATAATTGCATGCAGATACATGTTTCGACATTTCTTCGAAACTCACGTTGAATAACAATAATCCATCTTAAGACGGCACTTACCTAGGCTATACATAGATCATTCTTAAAAAAGTATAACATATCTACCATAAATAGCTCCGGCTGCAGCGTGCTTCAAATCTGGCACAAACGATAATCGTCAAAAACCCGTCGTCCTTCCTCTCCCCTTCGGGGATTTATTTCTTTAAACCTAAGCATGCCAGAACACTGAAATAAACGACATTGTCTTTCGTAAGGAACGCAGCACCGCGTGTAAAAGTTCGAGAAAAAAAAATTACGAATGTACACCACTACTGAAACCGTCCGCCGGTCTTTCGAAGTTCGACGAACGTCGAACTTTTACCCTAAAAGTTCGAAGTTCATCGAACTTCTGACTTTTCAGAATTCGAAAGTTCGAAACTTTTCGAATTCTCTCGATAAATAAGTTCGAAAGTTCGAAATTCATCGAATTTTTTGGTCAGTCAAGTTCGAAAGTTCGACAAGCATCGAACCTTGCAGCGCAATAAGTTCGAAAGTTCGAAAAAGATCGAATTTTTTAGCGTAATAAGTTCGACGGTTCGAAAAGCGTCGAACTTCTTAGCTTAACAAGTTCGAAAATTCGACCTCCGTCGAATTTTACGATATAGAAAATTCGAAAAATCGAAATCTTTCGAACCGCTTGATTCGAGCATCGAAACTTCAATTCGAAAAAAGTTCGCGGCATCCCTAGACCGAACCAAATAAATTCGACCCTCCACCCGACCTAAGGAAGCACTCTTGCCAAAAAGATTTAAGCAAAAAAGGGATAATACACGATGGGGAAGACAGCTCAGAAAACACGGACTTTGAAGAAGAACAGACACGACAAGGTAACGCTGTTGTAGTTGTAATTTGAATGTAATTTTGGGTGTATTTTGTTTAGAATTCCTCAAAGTTTGTCGCTGGTGGTACCAGGATAAATATAGAGCGCGACCCTAGTATTGTTTTTCAGAAAAACAAACTCGGCACTCGGGACTTTTAGTCAGTTATACCAGATGGAGCTAGTTGCTTCATGAGTTCACCAGTCATTCGGTTCGGTTGCGTCCGGTCGCATTCAATAGCGGTCGTTGCGATCCGCCTTCCCGTTAGGCCTAGCAACGAACGGATATGAACGGCGGGACATCGCCAGAGTCTGCATCGCCAAGACAAGAACGGCAGGGAGGTTTCCGGCCTCCAGCAGCAGCTTTCAACGTGACCACACCTCGTGACCTTGCAGCGTGTGTGCACAGCCAATGCACGACCAAATACGCACGCTGGACACGAGGTATCAAAAAGAGACGAGACCTATCGGCGACTTCTGGAACGCCATAAAATGAAACCCCCCCCAAAAAAAAATAAAATGTTCAACCTCGAAAGAAACACGCGAGTCATTCGTGCTTGGATTGAAAAATACCCCTCTTTTCGCATCCCTTGTGGGGTATGTGGACTACGACGCAAGCCCCGGCTGGTTCTCGCAAAGACACAAATTCTGGTGTCGGAAAAATAGCCTCCCTTTGTTTCCTCGATGGTTCCGAGGTTCCCTTCACCCACTAGTGGTGTGGGTCGTCTTCACGGACTAAATTCATATGCGCGTAAATAGCATTTTGTGCGCCTGAGCACTGCGGGAATACGGTATCACGGTAGCTCTCTGACTGCCATTACATTAAAACTAGGTTAACCAAATGTAATCCCCAAAAAATGCAATTTTCAATCTAGCGAAGTTTTGGATTTAACGAAGTAATTCGCCGTTCCTCTCAGAATCGTTTGACTTAGTGTTAACTGTATAAGTTATAGTTAGGATTCCGTGCTTTCGGAGTTCATTTCTCGCAAAATTCGGAGGGTGTTTATTTGAGTTTATTTTTGTTAGAGTTCCGATTCTCCGAAATAGAAAGTTTATTTTTGCTACGTTTCCAAAATTTCAAGATTGAAAATGAATGTATATATTAACCTGCGGCTATAACCCTACCCTAGATTTATAAGAATGCACGTATACCTCAGTCACCGAACAATTTTTCGGATGCCGACATTTCGGACTTGCTCAATATTTCGGACCTAAAGGAGGAACCGTGACCTACCCCATAGAAATAGTGCAAATTCACGACCAATGTTTTGGACAGCTCGAAGTCCGAAAGTTCAGTTTTTAGGCCAAAATCGTCATGAGCGATCAGCGGGAAGCACCACCCAGAGGCGGCTATTTTGGATTCTATGTTGGCTGCACATGGATTGGCTTGGTTTGGCAGCGCTACTTAAATATTGCTAATTCCTACTGCTAGGTGACGCTGTGCAGCTTTTTTTTATTTCTCTAGCTGAGCGTCATTATCATCATCATTGTTACCATTTTGCTTTGTTCGTGGACTTGCGCCTCTCATCTTGTCTCGGTGAATCGTGTTTTTGGACTATGCTGGCTCGGATGTCATGACGCTATCTAGTCTTTTGCCGCTGCGAAGTGTCACCAAGAAGGGCATAAAGTAGGTGCTGACCACAACACTAGAAAAAAAAGCAGTGATTCTCAATCTAATAGAAAGTGGCCAAACGCAAGCAGAGGCTTAACCTGAACCAGTGCACTATTAACAACTTTTTTAAATGTGCTTCGACGTAATAAAGGCAAGTTTTTTAATCTGCTTATTTTTCACACTGCTCTATTATTTAGATGTTTTTTAGGTCCTTGCAAAGTCTCAAAATCAGACGGCGACTCCTATGACTTTGGTGCCCCTGCCATTTGTAATACTACCTAACTGTCCCACGACAAAACTTGAAAAAGCCACATTAAAACCACTGAACTTTTCAAGGTAATTGTTGAAAACCTTGTTCTCTTTTCACCCTACTTTACGTCTTCTCCCTGAGGCTGTGTGGGGTGAAGTAGTGACTCCATCCTATGAAATCTAACAATTCATAGCTTTCACGGTTATCAAATCACAGCCCTACCTTTGTGTAAGAAGTTCAATCTGAAAACCAAAACAGTGGTTCGTGTCGTGACCCAGAATTCCACTGCCCCGCCGTCCTGGAGGAACCCCGACGGGGTAAACGGTAAACCTCCTTTGGTTAATAGGACGAGATTTTGAAAGAATCTGGGGAGGCGTCTCGGATGATCGCTGAACCTGTGCTCTGATCAAACTTATTTGTAGAAAACTGTCTTTTTTGTTTCGTTTTGGTCACTGTAACCTCCCAATCCAGGGTTTTTTGGATAAACCCGAATTGAAGTAAACTACCAGCGAGTGGTTTTCAGATTTTATTGGATTTAACCGACAACAGGCAACCCCAGTTCAGATATCCAAAAATTTAAAATTGCACTGTGCTACGATTGTGTAAATATGGCACTCTCTGAGCAGGGGCTTTCCTCAGCTTGCACTAGGCAGCAGCAAAATAGACATTCTACGAAGGCTCCTGCCTGTGGGTGTTGTGCACCGTGAAAGCAGCGCACGAGCGACAATGAAAAGGATCAGTTTAACAAACTGTCAATTTAATGTTTGTCAAGCTGCAGAGCTGTACTACTCCATAGCTTTTTCCTTTTTAACTTACCTGATACCTGAGATTCGACAGCCTGTGCATCCGGTGCCGTTTCTGAGCTGGGAAAAAAACGTAAGAGGTGCGAGCGTCACACGTTGGTCACCAAAAGCAGCAAGTAACAAAAGGCTGTAACGCCGAAAAGTGCGGAGCAAATACCTGTAGCTTTAAAATGAAAACGAAAAAAAAAGACCAGGTCAGAAATTAAATACTAATTTTTAGACTCTCCGGCGTATTTCAACACTGTAGGAACAATAAGACTCGCGAAATTAGGCTTTAGGCCATGCAGGATTCGGTTGTGTGGAAACAGTGTAGAAATGGTACAAGTGCAGTAAACTGCAAAAAGTTTGGGAAAATGAGTGAGCATCACAGGCGGTGATCGTTTTCACAAAGTTATTAGTAATGTTGTATAATAACTGTCATATCAAAATCAAGCGTTCCTTTCATATGTATTACTTTATGCTGATTATAGTGTGCTCGTCTTTATTCTTCCATACTGTTTTTGCAAGGCCCCCTCCCCTTTATAATGCTTCGGCCCTGAGGGCAAGATAAATAAACTCCAATGCTTTAGCACTAGTCGGTGAATACAAGTATCTAGGTGTTAAAATTAGCTCTACCTTAAGCTGGACTCGTCACATATTGGGCACGTTATTGCCAAAGCATCTAGAAAACTTGTGTCTCTACAAAGGACTAGGATACGCTGCACCCCTGAAATGGAGCTAACGGCGTAGAAATCTCTAATCCGTCCTTTACTAGGATATACCGACATCCCATGGGACCCTCATTAACAACTGTATATAGAGGGGGTAAGAAAAATAAATTTCTTAGGTTCATCGATAATTTGTACGGTAAAGAATCACATGTTTCTCCGTTGTATGCTTCATCTGAACTGCCTCAGTTGTCAAGTGGTTCTTCCCTGTTAGCATAATACGCAACAAAACTTGTTCAAAGTTTGATGTCTATCTTCAGTATAATGTGAGCCGTGAGACAAGACAAAAATATGAGAATCTGATTCGTGAGTTTTGTTGCCGGAAAGACGTTTTAAAATATTCCTTTTTTCCACGTACCAGTTGCGATTGAAACGAGTTGCCCCGCAACATGACTGGAATTGTCTCTTTTGATACACTTTCTAGCACAATTGATCAGCTTTTCTTTGTTAGAATGGACTCCAAGGACTAATCTGCTTATACTCATTTTACGGGATGTTTACATGTACTTATTTTCTACGCTGATCTTCTTTATTGTTCCATCTGCACCATGCCTTGGCCTTCAAAAGTATCTCCAAAATAAATAAAATAAATAATACGCGATGCTCTCTTACGCAGTAAGCTATAAAAGAGCTAGGCACGCACTTTAAAGGTGGTGTCTTATTAAGGCATCGCTAGTGGTATGGGCTTATCGGACCACTCATTGGGACCACACCTATCCTCTGTGGTTCCCAAGGGGCCAGAATGCATTGGACCTCAAATGAGTGCTTCTGAAATGGGGTTCCTGAAGGCCTTCTTGGGGTCCCTGAGGCTTTAGACCGTCAGTCGTGCCAAGCACTAACATATTTTTTATCCATGCTGGCTGCCCCACAAAGCTTAAAGGGGCACAGACACCCCAAAGGTTGTATTCTTTTTTTATTGTCTAAAACAATGCAAGTTGTAGTCATAGACACGCAAAAAAAATCGCATCGCAAAAAGAAATTTTTTTGCGGACGCGCCGTTTTCTTCTTGTTGTTTATATCTCCCGCGTTCACCTCCTTGCTTCTTTTGATCGGTGACGTCAAAATCAGGAAATTTAAAAGTGTTGTAGGCGACATTTCTTTAACATTTAATAACAGCAATCAAAAAATATGTTTTTTAACGCAATTGCGAATGCACTACGGCCTTTCTTTTTTAAATACCAAAAATCAGATTTTGGTGTGATGTCGCTTCCTGGATTTGTATCCCCCTCGGAAAACTTGGCGGCGCTCGAGCAGAGGATTATCGGCGAGTCTGGGAAGAAACCGGATTTTTCCCGTGCCGGCGCCCTTCTATCCCGCCTCGTCACCTTCTCCTCGCTTCGGATCGTGGTGGCAACGGCGCTTTGCTTCACAGCGTGGAGCGGAGGTCCGAAAGAAAGTCGAGTTGCAGGAGACTGCAAAATCTGACTCACTGGAATGCTGCGGATCGTGCGGGAACTTCAAATTTGGCATTTGGAAATTGTTTTTTAATTCAGAAATACTGAATTCCCAAGTTTCGAATTTTGAGGGTAATGTCCCGGTATCATTTTCAATCGTTTCGGATAATAAAATAAAATATGATTTTGATGTGTCAGTGCCCCTTTAATAGAGGAAATTATTCGCACAGAGTGAGTAAGCTCCATTATTCTTGGGGCTGCAAAGTTAGCTTCCACACACTTAGGTTTCTTCATTTACAGTTTTTTTCATTGCAACTGTTCCAATGCTGCCCCCTGACCCCTGCCAGATCCACCATCACTTCCACCGATCCAGAACCCAAAACATCTGTGGTTGAGAACCACTCCTCTAGAGTATTAAATTAACTATATCTGCGGAGCAACGCGGCCTTACTCTGGGCGTTGGCGTGGTCCGCAACCTTCTCCTCGTCCATCGGGAAGATCAGCTCTGCATCTGCGTCCGCAGCTTCGTCCAATGAAGCGGGGGAAACGTAAAAATAAATGCGCGCCACATTACTTTAAGAAAAGGGTCACCTGGAACCCTACCAATTGCACAACCACTCAACTTTTGGTTTACAGGTTTGCTCCCAAACAGTCACTTTGCTCACAAAAAGCAGACAACAGAATTGTAACTCAGCAAGCATAATATCTGCCATTCACCCGAAAAACAAGAAACGTGATTCATTTTAAAAGAACATTTCACATTGCTGAAAAGTCTAAACAGAACTCTCTCTACCGTGCTTCCCAAATTCTTCAGATCTTCCGTACCAACCATTCTTACTTGTAAAGACTACAAAAAAGCTTTTGTGACTCTTGATGAGAAAGTCAAAACAAAATGAATTTCAGTGTGCTGAAAGCTCCACGCTCCAAACAAACTAGATATGAGCCTCACATTGCAGCTTTTGCCCCAGCACGGCTGTAGGGTGGAATGAAGCGAGCAGGGTGTTCACTAATATAACTCGCAGGATTGTCCGGCCACCTCACCAAACTTCCCCGACTAGTAATGTGTCGACTGCTATCTCTTGTAAGGACAGAATGAACAACAAAAAATTATTCTGTGGAAACTCAGGTCATGAATTGTAAAGTGACCTGTTATTGACAGAACAGCAGAACAAACCCCAAATTTTTTCAGAATCACTGAATTCTCCCGACAGGCGTCCTGCACAGAGTGCAGCAACATTGTACGCTTTCTTACAAATGCCACATAAGCAGCAAGTTCTGGACAAAATGGGCCGGTCTTCGGCACTTAAACATACAAATGGGAAATTTTCCTTTAAAGAAGGCCAAATTCATGCAATCCAAAGACACCGGCAGGCTAAGAACCTAACTCCCTAACTAATTTTTAAAAAAAAAACAAAAAAAACAGCACTTTCATTTCTTCCTACCACGGGAAAACTGCCCATTTTTGGAGGGTCCCAGTATTTTCTTTTTTTCTTCCGAATAACATGCTTCCGAAGTTTGTTGCACTATATCAATATGTAGGCAAATAAACACTCTTTTCAATGATAAAATTATGAAATAGGAGTCCAGTAAAATATGCAAGCTTTAATTTCTGAAAACCAGAGTTATTGTGGCCAACACAACCAAAATGAGAAAGATATACTACCACAGCTTGAAACCGATGTAATCGTGCCAACAAACACTTTTGGCACTGAGGTGTCAAAGCGCTCAAAGGGTGGTCTGCTCTTGTCTACCCCAGTACAAAAAGCTGGACAATGAAAAAAGAAAATCCAACGCTTTACCCCGCTACAACATGTATCAGGGCGAATAGGGTGTCTTTTTTATTATGATTCGGACAAGGCTGAGGAAGAATGTCTGATCGAATTGAAAAAAGGAAAGCGAAATTCGAGAACCTCTCGCATGTGTAGTGAACACTTCAGTGAAAGCGACTCCGTGTATCCTGTTGGTTCCAGTGTGTTCTGTGAGTGCTGGTCTCTTGTTAGTTCCAGGTTGATTCCTTTCTGAACTTCGTAAACCAGTAAACAAACATTATCTCAAAATAACTGGCAGGAAGAAGCGGTGGCTAGCTTCCGGTGTCCTTTAAACTAAGTCCCTGCTTATTCACCCGGTCGATGCGAAACGTGCGAAAGAAGTCCTAAATCCAATAAGTTGGCGACACTTCAGCATCCCATAAAATGAGGTGTACACCTGCTATAAATTACTACCGTGCGTACGTTTAATTATGTGGACCCAAATATATGCATAATGCGTGATGCGTTTCTCAGCGAGCGATTTGAAATTTGTAAACACTTCTTAGTAAAAATTGGATACAACAAATTAATCAATCGGCTAAATTTGCTCGGCCATGTCCGACAATATAAAAATTCATGAAAAGTTCTGCTTTTATTTCGAGCAGAACTCGTGATGTGACCAACTTATTTGCCACATGTTCAATGTGGAAGGAGCTAAGCGGGAGCGTTGCTCCTTCCACATAGAATATGTGGCAAAGCATTGCATCATCAGCGTGCATCGTAAGCATTGCTGATGAGCATTTGCTCAACAGCAACTGTCGAGTCACACTTGGAAGCGTCGGTATCGGCGAGCTCAATGCTGAAACAAATGTGCGGTGCTTTGCAATGAAAACTGTGCACGTGTGCACAGCTAAGATGGCAGCATGTCCTTTACTCTGGTGAATGCAAATCCTTTTTCTACGAGAGACTCCACAGATACGAAAAACAAGAATCAAAAAGGCTGTGAATAGCCCTGATGCACGCCGTGCAAGCTGACATGTGAAGCTCCAGGCTCGCTTTTGAACATTTTAAAGCTTCTAATATAAAAAGCAACTTCGAGGCACTGTTACTCATTACCTTGCAAAAACATCATACAGGTTTCTTTATTAAATAAACTGTTCTTTTTTCATTGGCATAGATGCGAACGTAGCCACTCTGTGCTTTGACATAGCGCGTCGTCTGCTCGCATCCTACCAGCTGCGTTACAGGAGGGCGCCCGTGAGGTGGTGTTACCAAAACATCTTGTCGCCAATATATATAAGCTTTAACCTGATCATAGTTATTACTCGAACGAATGTATCCAAGTAAAGGTGTATTCTTAATGTTTAAAAAGTGTCCTATTGAGGTTTAGTAAAGTGCACAAACCATACTAATTGTTATAAAATTTGTACTTTAGTACATACTAATTGCAACGTGCGCAGAATCAAAGCTAAACCAAAGCGCGATAACCTTTATCTTACGTTACACATCTTCATTTTTTACACATCTGCAGCCGCACGTGGTCATCAGAACTAGTCCTTCAGAGTAGGCAAGCTTTCGTGGATCCATCTATCGTAAGTCAACAAAGCCGTTTCCTCCCCGTCTTTCCCTTTGTGAACCACCTTTTGTCTGAAGGACCTTGAAACGTTGCCAATTACAGGAAGGAGGGCCCCCATGACAAAACTGAATCTGGTACTTCGAAGGACGTCACTGCGCACCTCACTCGGAAGAAGGGGGCAAGTTGAGGAGTACACCGACTTCTACTTGTTTCCTTTTTTTGAAGGAACCTTACGCATGTAACAAAAAATGGTTCCCTGTTTCATCTTTCTATAGGTCCGCGGTCTCAAAATCATTTGAGTGTGGGGGCCAGATATCCCACATCGCAAAGGTCGAGGATGAGGTTTTGTGCTTTATGCTTTTTGTGAACTCACAGACTTGCCAGTGACATCTTTAAATTTGATTTGTTTATAAAACTACTTTAGACCTTGACCTGATGTGATAAGAGTTAAAATGACACCGCCCCACCAACGTGCTGGAATGCTTAATAGAATTACAACATTTTTAATAGAACAAGTACAGTATTTTAATAGAACAAGTACACTGTCGCTCCCATTGCTCAATTCACGCAGGAATTAATCGAGCTCAATATGTATCTAGAAAAACAATCAGGTAATATGACCATGTTGAATAACCTGAAACTGGGGCGGAAGTGAACAAACAAGTCAAAGGAACAGAAAAGGACAAGAAAAATAAGTCCCTCGAGTTATTTGTTCACTTCAGCCCCAGTCTCGGGCTATTCAAAATGGGTAACATTCACCAGCTTGCCTGCACCCTTACTATATTATCTCAAATAATATGACACTTGCCACTCTCCTGACGATTTTTACTACAACATACAAACAAATAAATACTAGTATTTTAATGGTGATATCTTTTTCAAGGCCAGAATCCCGAACTCGCAGCAATATCTTTGACAGTCGCTCCTGCTGATTGAGATTTCGCGCAGCCGAGATGATAGCTTGCACTTGCAGCCTAGTAGCAGAATTGTTTTACATTATAGAAAGCTGGGAAGCAAAATATAAATGAAAACAAAGGGCAAATGCACACAGATAAGTATAAACTATGTGAATACATTAATAAAGCAGAGCAACTTTTCGAGCAAAAAGTAATCGACGAGGTGAGACCCCTATGGTGTATGCCATTTCTAGAGCTCGAGACATGAGAACCGGGACTCATAGCTGCTTGCCTGCGGACGACGTGTTTGAGACCCCAGCTACAGGCGATGCAAAACAATTCCCGCAATTAATAGGACAAGTACGAAAATTGTTGCACTGCCCCTTTAACCCTTTGAGGATCGACGTCGTATATGTATAACGGCGGTATCACATATATTAAAGTGCCTGCCTAAATGCGAAACCCTGTGCTTCGTGGGAGCTGTTGCTATTGGTTATATATTTGGCAGACCACAAACGTATAGTGGCACAATGTTTCACTCTGCTGGGCCTATTTCAGGTTCCTCATAGATTTGCAGGAGAGATATCTCAGCATCTAGGGAAAATAGAAATATAAATTTTTTCGAAATAGTATGTAGGTAAATATGCAAAGCATAGAATGTTGAGAGCAGATTCTTCAATATAAATCTTGGAACTTTTTCACAATATACATTGTTACTTGGTCACCACGGATTGAGCACTGACCTCCAATGTGCTGTAAGATCACTAATAACGGTTCACTCAAAAGTACTTCCAATATTGTACTCTATACTTTTTGGTATCTAGCCACGTAATAAACATAATTTTTTGTAAGGTAGACATTATGTTTCCCTATTGTTCCTGAAAACAGCAGGTGAGTTTTAATTACCAGAGGGACGAATCTAGAGTCACTGGAAGTCCCCAGAGTAGCGAATTCCATATCATTTCCACTCATTGGTAGCCTCAGGGCCGAAAGACATTCCAGAGGGGGTGGGATTATAAGGTACAAGTTCACAGAACACTCAAATCATGAATCAAGTTCTAGTAGCACGGATACAGCATTTTTAAAGTCAACAGGATTAACAATTGTGGCAATGGATGTGGAAAGGCCAGTCAGCAGACGTACGAGGTATGAATGATCTGTAGTAGGTATTAGTGTGGCCCTCTGGAATTTCAACTTTATGTATGTGGTCATTGTGCGATGATATGTAGGAAGATTGGGCTGTGAAAAAATATTTCCTAAAATAAACAAATGAGAAAACTTTTGACGTAAAGAAAGAGTAGACAAAGATAGGCATTTTTTCATACAGGTTACGATGGTAATGAGAAAAAATGAAACGCACAGATCCATCCTGGACATCCTTCAAGGAGCCGGCAAGACTCTCAGTGTTAGGATCCCAAACAACAGAAGCATACTCAAGTTTTGGCAAGACATAGAAAAACAGTTTCAAAGTCAAGGGACTCTGGAAAAAATTATGTTTTAGATAGCCAAGCATGCGGTTGGCATTGGAAATGACACGGTGAACATGCGATTCCCACGTGAGGTTAGATGTGATGTGAAGACCAAGATATTTGTAAGTGTCAACCTGCTATAATGTCATTTTATTTAGAATATGAAATTATTATGTGCTTACATTTCTCAACATTTAATGGCAGCCAAGTGTTACACCAACTTGACATGAAATCGAGATTATTTTTAAGAAGTAAGATGTCAGAACTGTTAACAATTTCGTGGTATACAACACAATCATCTGCAAATAAACAACTAGAAGAGTTGACATTCAATGGTAAATCATTAATGTAAATGAGAAAAAGCAGAGGGCCAAGCACAGGTCCCTGAGGTACTCCGGACGTTACTGCAAACCGGAAGTCAATCCCGCAGAATCCAGTTCTGATTGGCTGGTTTAGCCCGTGGCGGAAGTTATCAGTTGGCCATTTTAGGGATGAGCCCAAAACAACAAAAAACGTATCTAAAACGTTTCCGCGTTACCATGGCTACGTCAGGTAAGCACGGGTGGGAGCTCGGGACATGGATGAGTTATGACCGAACAGAAGGTGCCCCGATTTTCTCTTGTACTGTAGAACCTTGCTGATACGTTCTCGGTTGATACGTTTTCCCGGCTGTTATGTTCAAAAACACCGGTCCCGTTTTACTTCCATAGAGATATATGTACTATTAGTTTCCTGCCTGTTACGTTTTCTTTCTCGGTTGTTACGTCTGAAAGTGTCGGCGCGCCAAGCTGCCATGCTGGCTTGGAAGCGAAGCTAGCGGAGCAAAGCCGAACCATGCAATGTGGGAGACGCCCGTCCTCCCTCCTTTTCCGCCTCTCCTCGCTGGGCTTTGCTGAGCTCTGCTTTCCATCTTGCCCGGGTGTGACCTTGGAGCACTGCTCGGACGGGCAGCGAGGCTCTTTCATCTGTCTTTCTCTAGAACGAGGTGCACCTGCATGCACGCTTCTAGTTTCTGTTCCGCTCCATTGCGTGAACCGTGCTGTTTCGGAGTATGTGCACTTTGCACCCGTTGACGACGGTCGTGGCATCGTGAAAAAGGAAGGCACTCTCTTCTAAAGAGAAGAATCGCAATCCCAGCCGGAAGAGATCTGACATCGCAAGGGACTTCGAACCCGCGACGATAACTTTGAACAGCAACGTCGCCAAATGAAAGGAGATTGAAGCGGCAGGCGGATATTACGCGCTTTTGGGAACATGTCAGAGTCGTCAACAGTTCTGTAAGTACACATACAATAAACCATTGCGTAAGAGCTGCTTTCTATCTCATGTAGAGCCCCCCTAAGTGCGTTATCAGGGTGTCTACCAAATAGTTTTTTTCAAATTCCCTGACTTTTCCAGGTTTTCCCTGACTATTTTAATTGAATTCCCTGACCCACAACTACCGACACCAAAACAATATATGATAGATTGATACTATTCACAACGTAAAATATTTTCTTTAAGTTAGATAAACCAAACTTTAGAAGATGTTTAGAATACAGCATTGACCCGGGTTTACTGTTTCAGGGAGTTTGGTCCCAGCACCTGATCAGTACATCAATTCGTTCTCCGAGTTACTTTGTTCAGTGACTCATCAAAAGGAACCACCAGATATGGTACGTTAGAGAGGCTTGCTAGTAACTTGTCTTGGAAAGTAGGGGGCGATACCACGACATATTGTATATCCCACTTTGTCTTTTCCAAGCTGAATTTTTCTGGAAACAGCAAGGCAAACGGAAACAGCAAAGCAGACGCTGCCGCTGAACGGAAAGACCCATGAGTTGTTATAGTGTTCAAGCACCACATGATCCCCGGCCTTAGTAACTTCCTTCTTCAATAAAAAGCCACGACCCACGTCTTCACGGAGAGGCTAAGAGCTTCCGTGGCGGTCGTTAGACGCATTGCCGGAGCCCTACAAGCACTATTGTTACCACCGGACAAAAAACACCCGTTGCTGTCGCGGAAGGCAAGTCCGCATTTGTCGCAGTTTTGAAAAATACGACTGTGCTCTGAGAAACGCTTTGCAGATATTTCATAGCAGTGTAATGTTTCTTACCCTCAAGATGAGTAGCAATTGCCCTATTCCCCATGTTGCTCAGGGAGAACTTCTTGCAGCACATTGCGCAGTGAGCACTATTTGGATCATTTGGAATGGGCTGAATCCAACTCGCATTCGTGCATATGTCCGGGTTTGTCCAGTTGAGATTAAAGGAGCACTTTCTCGACAGCGACATAGTCACTTTCACATACCTCCACTTTAGGAAAATAACAAGATAGAAAGCGCAACCCATAGCCACAAACGCACGTGGCAGAGCTCGTAGAGTACAGGCGTCCAGGTTGCGTTTACGGGGAGGTGCGAAAGCACCATATCTGACAAACGAATGGATCACTAGGCGCGCGCCTCTCAGAGGGTAGATGAATGAACGACGGTTGTTCTTTTTCGAGTGAGTGGTGACTTGTGCTACTTAGTATCGGCTAGAGCAACTGTCTCTCATCGTACTAGAGCAACACCACCTGACTAGAGTCACGAACTAAACAAAATTGCCGCTGCTACTCTGCTTTACTAGTAACAGTGAGTAACTCTTTAGCCGCCATACTTTAGCGTTGCTACCCTAAAGTGTAGCTAATTTAGTGCGAGTGTACTAAAACAACGACGAGTCGCCAGTTTCGCACATGCTCTTGTGTGAAGCATAGCGCGTGGAGGGGGTTGCGACGTCGCACTTGACTGTGCTCGTGGCTATGCCTGCCCGTGCCTGCCGCTTCTAGCGTAAGCGGGCGAGCATGGGATAAATTCCCTGACTCGGCAATCTTTTTGGAAATTTCCCTGACAATTCCCTGACTTTTCCAGGTGTCTTAAAATTCCCTGAAAATTCCCGGTTTTTCCGGCCGGTAGACACCCTGGTTATCGGTTGTTACGTCTTCCCGGATGATACAGTTTTTTCCCCGGTCCCCTGAAAAATGTACCAATGAGGTCCTACTATATTTCTTGAGTGCAGCTCTTAAGCGCCTGTTTCCGGCTCGAGCGGCGTCGCCGTCGCAGTCGGCGTAACCGCGCGTTCCATTATGGGACGTTTCCCATAATGCACATGACGTTACGAGAGTCACTAGGGTCACGAGTGACGTGACGAAGGTCACTCGAGAAGGTCACGACGAAGGTCACGATCTTCACGAGGGAAGGAAGGGTACGGAAAAGGAGGGGGGGCATATCCTTCTATCTGTACCCTCCCCTCGTCCTCCTCAAGGGCAGCACTCTAATTCGGCATTACAGTGAATTGTAAATGTCTCATTTTTTTAATATCAAGTTCCTCATAAAAAACTGCCGGCTTGTTTGCTCGCTCCGGTTGCGCTGGTGCTGCGTTTCAAACTCTACGCCTCGGACGCTAAGCGTAAGATTCAACTTGGACGTGTTTCGAGGCGCGAGAAAGAGAGAGAGAGAGAGGTACAGACAGCGAGGAGCGAGTCATGCACCGCTCACAAAGAAGGAAAGAACTTTAATAAAAACAAACCAGCGTCACCACAAACCAGGAAAGTGAATTGAAGAGGTCGCACGAAAACAATTGCTATACTATTATAATGCAATTAAATGCAAAGGTGCAAGCGAGCTGGACAAGAATGATGAAAATACTAGATTGCGTTCAATTTACCCGCAACTCTTGCACCGGCGCAGAGAAGTGTAGGGCGGTGTACTTCCGGTCGTGTCTGAATACGCATACCGGAAGTACACCTCCCTACACTTTTCTGCACCGGTGCAGAAGGCGCATGTAAATGGAATGCAGCAACTGTTCCCACTTCGCTTTGATCACACAGGGCAGAGCCACCTTGGGGATCGGTTGAACCACGCCTGCTGCACCGCGACTCGGTTCTGAAACAATGCTTGAGAGTTTCGGTACTCTGGGAGCATTCAGTGACTCTAGACAGATCTACCCATTGAAAATGTGACTAGATATTTGCGATGAGGAAGAAAAACTGAAAAGCTCGCGCACATTTCTTGGGTGTGGTCAAACAAGCAGGAAAAAGCTCCAAGAACAGTGTTTCCCCATAATGTTTCTCAGAATTGAATTCAGAGGATGAGCGCTTACCATTCGAAAGAGAGGCTCTACGAAGTACCTCCGGTTCGAAATCTTAAACCGCCAGAATGTCGCGAAGCGGATGGGTCAAAACCAAACCGAATGGGAGGAAGGGGACAACTTGTTGCCTTCAGTCTCTCCCCTCGGTGCTTGCAAACCTGAGCAGCTTGCGAGCGGGGGCACTTACCAGAGGCCGTCCTAGTGGCTGCCCGCACGTCCACGACGCCGTCCTCCAGGCCCACGGCCGTGCCCAGCACCGCCACCTGCGGGGAGGACCGCCCACCGCTTCTCAGACGCCAATCTCCGTGCACCCATCCACCGTTCGTCTGTCGGAGGATTCTCCGGTGCCGGGCCAACATTCTCCGAGCGACTCTTAAAGAGACGCCCGACACGTAAAATCTTTTTTTTAAAGGTAAAACACCCACGTCACTAAAGAGTTTCTTTGCCCAACAAAAACCACACACAGCTTCGCTTCGGCAACACGGAAACCGACGTGACTGTTCCCAGCCCTAATCGCTCGTACAATTTCAATATCTTGAAGCCGATCGCAGACCATGGCACATTCATTGACATCAATATATTCTACGAACGAAATACCTCCGAGGGCCGAGCTCGAGCCCAGCTTCGTTAGACGAGAGTGTTGCACGGCCATGACGTCGATTGCTTCCGCAACGTCCGTAGGGACGGCACCATAACGGGCGCGCCAGCTACCACGCTTCGCCGCTCGGATTGGCCTGCCTCACTGCTCGGCTGGCTTAGCCGCGCACCCAGCACGTCACGCTTGTTCGCTCTTTCCCCGACCGTGCAAACAATAAAGAAGGGCGCGTGGTTGCAATTTAAGCTTGGTCAGCATAATTGCGAGTCTTTTTCCTACTCCCCGAATTACGAGTCTCGTGGATTGCGCAAAACAATCCTTAACAGTTTCCGAAGAAAAGGCTTTTATTTGACGCATATTTTTTTGCCGTACTACGGTGCCTGCAACGCTTCTCCGACCGGCGTGTCTAACGCGTCCTAGAAACTTCCATTTCCGGCCGAGGACGTCGCGAAAGCGCCGGCGTTGCGGCGACGGAGGTGGCCGCAACACCCGCATTTGCTCTTACTTTTCACTGGGACTTCTACCACTGACTGCCAGGATGGCGACATCCAACGAGAGTCCGGCTTCGGTGATTCGTTGCGACTTTTGACGCATGGGTGAAATAGCACGCCAAACGCACCAGTCCAAGATGTGCTCCAGGCACCATACTTGTACGCACAATTGCCAAGATCGCAGCCACGCTTCAAACTACGGTGTGTGGAATGTGCCCTCGACTGGCTTCTCCCATCCCGACCAGGTGTCCAAAGTGGTTCCAAAGTGGCGATGAATTGCGTCCCAAAAGTCTATCTGTCGTGTTTCCGGATGTGGCAATTTCGGCACTTGGTCATAGAAATGCTCGCTTAAAGGACACTTGTGAAGGAAAAAAACTAGGGGTGTGCGAATACCGACTAGTAGCTTTCGAATCGAATACCAAATCGAATCAAGAAAAAAAACCCGAATATCGAATCGAATATCGAATAGTGATTTTATTCGTAGGAATTTTTCAAAGTGTGCTGCGAATGCGATTATTATATGTGCAGAGTATGCGCCTGGTGCAGAATATACGTCTTGTACAAAAAAAAAGCCAAAATGTAAAAAAGTTCCGGTGAAAAAAAAAAAAAAAGCCAGTTGCTGTTGGGCACTAAATATCCAATTTTATGGTGCAAACATAATCTATCTACCCTAAAAGTCACACAAAAAAAAGTTACAGCCACGCGTGCCTTTTTTTTTCTTTAAAAACACAACCTAACACCGCAACTTTTTTTTTTTTTAATATTTGTATATCTCAGAAAAGGGACATTTTGCGATAATTCGTCTCCATTTTAAGGGGAAAAAGTGGCACCTGGGATTTGATTTCACATAAATAAATAGACAGGTGTTAAATCTGAGTAAACAGCAACGAGGTAAACTGGCTTAAACAATATAATCTAAAGCAAGAAAAAAAGAATGTGGTTAGGTGGCGCAAGTCACCGTCCAACTGCCGCTACGCATCCATTTTTCCGTTTATCTATCCTGTTTTAGAGAGCCTTGATTTAAAAGAGGGAGCAACCGAAACTAAAACCACAGAGACGGCTCCATCGCAGATTGATCGTGAATGCTCATGTGTTGTGTTGTCGGGTGGAAAGAAGGCGAACAACATACATGGGTAAATTACTTCCAAAACATAATTTAATTACAATTACAATTACTCTGCTTCAAAAGTAGTTTAATTACAATTACTACTATGTGAAAAGTAATTACAATTACAAATTACTTTTAAAAAGTAATGCAATCACTTTACTATTACTTATTTCTGAGAGCGACCCGACTTGGGCCATATAACTTTAAACGAGTTGTATAGAATGTAATGTATTTGTTCATTCCTTGCCCCAATCTTTGAGGAGGCTTAAGCATGGCTGCATAAATGTCACGTATTGTACTTTGCTTTTATGAATTTTGTTAAATTTATTATAGAACTTGACAGTTTCGGTGCAATGAAGTACTACATTCTTATATTTCAAATCTAAACGATTTTTTTTTTTTTTTGCGGGCTCTATATTTTGCGATTTAGGTCAAAGCTGAATTTTTGGAATAATTCGCGGGTTCTAATTTCCGCGACCGTGGTGGGATCTCAATATAGATTTCAATGTGTTTTCATTTTACCGGAATAGTTCGCGGGACAAAGTTTTTGCGAATTGTAGGCGATTCGCGAAAATTAGATCCTCGCAAAACTTTAGACGTTTACAGTATATAATAGTAAATTAGTTCATATGCTGGAAGACGCCAGATCACTAAAGAAAAAATTGGGTAGACAGCCCTTTGTTAGCCAGGCAAATAAAATGTGACAATTAGTCGTATATGACTATTTTAGAAGTGTTAAAATAAAACTAAACTCCACGCGCGCTAATACGACCACATTAACATGCAAACATCATAATATTGTACATTATTTACACTGAGTTGAAATTATAATGGCTCAGAAATATACAAGGACCGAATCGGGGTTCCCGAATCATTTGTGACAATATTCACAGGTGCGAGGTCAGTCTTTAAAATGCTTACGCAACTAATATTCAAAATAAAACCAACGGGAAATAAACTTGAAAATAACACAAAGATACAAATATGTGACAGTACTGGAAAAGGGAAGTAAAAAAGTGTCAAAAAAGAAAGAAAAATAACTTCAGAGACAATTAAAATTCCCAACCTTTGCTGAAAGCTGAAGCTCAATTTTTTTTTTCTTTCAATATTTTGACATGTTTACGCTATTGTTTTCTCCTCGCAGCACAGACAGCGCTGCATGCCGCCGTTGAGGTAGGGTCCAAAGAGGATTCTCTCTGAGATCCCGGTGTAAGCAACAAAACGACAAACAGTGCGACGCTATTTATGTTCTGCGTGCACGTGTGTGAGTGCGTGTCTGTGTGCGACTGTTTCACTGGGAGCTGGGCCGCTTGTACGAGCGCTGAGGCTTTCAGAGAGGTTCCGTTGGCGCTGCAAAGTTTTGCAAAAGTAATTGTAATTGTGCCTGAAGTTTTACAATTACTAACGCTAGAAAGTAACTAAATTACAAATACAATTTCTTTTAGCCAGAAGTAATTATTACAATGACAAATTACAAAGAAAGGTAATTAAATTACAGTAATTCAATTACTGTAAGTGAATTACTACCCAAGTATGGCGAACAAACAGAAGAGCTACGACGCCTGCCCTGCCTGCCCGAGCTCGACCGACGCTTTCGTCTTTTCGGCGCCTTCTCGCAGTTCGTAATTCAAACACGGCTATCGAGCTGTTGGAAACCCTCCCAAATCTAGGCACACTATTTTTCCGTTCCGTTTCTTCCGCGTTCTTTTCACGAGTAAAGCCCCTCGTTTCAAATTGAAGCGCCGATGTAAAACACACTTGCCACACTCGCAGAAATCGGCTACTGCACCACTGCACGAGCACAGAAAGAAAACCAACGTTACCACGTCGGCGAAACCAACCGAGTTGTCGTTCCGATTCGGAATCCGAATCAGAATTTGCGGTTCGAAAAGAACGACGACGATAACTCGGTTGGTTTCGCCGGCGTGGTAACGTTGGTTTTCTTTCTGTGATCGTGCAGTAGCCGATTTCTGCTAGTGCGACAAGTGTGTTTTACATCGGCGCTTCAATTTGAAACGAGGAGTTTTACTCGTGCAAAGAATTAGGCTTGGCGCGGAATTCCGGCTTCCCAACAATTCCTCTCTGGAAACGGTGCAAGCGGGATGTTTCAGTTGTGATTCAAGGGTAGATTGTGTCATTATCGTGAGTAAATCTTCGTGCTATAAAGTTTGTGGCGTTCGTTACTTTTTTGTTTTCTAACCTGTGCGTTAGATTTTTGTGGAATGGTAGGACCAAGAGCTGTTTCTCGCATGGTCTGTCTAACATCACGGCGCTTACATCGGGAGAAAAAACTGCTTTTTTGTTTGCTCCGCGCCCACCGCGCGTCTTTGGCTGAATATATCGAATATTCGAGTAACCGAATACTAGGAATTCGATTCGCGAATCGAATTATTCGGGAACTTTCTATTCGATTCGAATTCGTATATTCGAGTATTCGCACACCCCTAAAAAAAAACATTTTTTTAAGGAGCCTGGTTGAGAAAAGGAAGAAATGAAACGAATTTATGATGAAAGAGAAATTTTTAGAGCTATATTTACAGCGCTACACGAATTTGTAGTTGGCACCCTCGGGCGCCGCAGAAAAGTGGCTGCTATTTATTCCGTGACTGGCTGCTATTTGTCACGTGGTGGTTGCGCTCTTTCAGAAGCAACCTATGGTCTCTAAAAATTGCTCATTCATCTTTGTTTGAAGTGCAACAAAAAAAATGAAGATTTTAAATAACTTTTAGAACCCAAAGGAAGCTCCTGAAAAAGCGCAAGCAGACCTGATAGACCGGTGCGCCAGTTGGATGACGGCGGTAGTGGCCTGGAGCAAACAAACTTGTGCAGCGGCGTGGAGAAACGTGTTGAACCGGCGGCGCACCACGCTCAGCATGCGACGGCGGTGTGACTTTGAGACGACAGTGGCGCACAGGTCTACCACGTGACCCGCATCGGCTCCCGTGGGTGCCAACTACAAATTCGTTCTGCGTCGTAAATATAGCTCTAAATTTTTTTTTCTTCGTTGTAAATTCGTTTTATAACATTCTTTTTCCATCTACTGTTTAAAAAAAATGTTTTTTTTTCCTT